ACCTTTGACTTTGTCAGAAGAATAGCCAAGAAGTGTGTTCATAACAGAAGAAGAAGCTACGCCAGCCTTCTGAACATGCTGGACGGTTCTCCACACATTGTATGATAAACGCTGATCTATAAGAGCTCCTCCGCTGGTTACAGCTATCGAGTTGAAGAGGGCGCCAGCTCCCGCTTTTGGGAGAGTAACTATGCTCACCATCATTTTTTACAGTGAATTTCAAGAAAGGATTCTTAGTATCAATGAAAGACATTTGTGTAGGTAGACGGAAGGAAATACTAGATTGATGATCTAGTTAGCCAAGTCCGTATTGAGTTTGACTGTAGAGTTAGGCTTGTTGTGTCTGACCATTTTTCCAGTTTCAAGGAAGGATCTCAACTTCGGAGAGTGAAGGATCAGTTACAGATCAAATTTGAGCTTCTATCTCCTTACGTTCATCAGCCAAACCTAGCTGAAAATGCCATCAAGCGACTTAGAAACAAGGCCATTATATTATTACAGGGCCTAGCAGACAAGACGCTGGCAGGACGAAAGATTTCGATAGATCGATGGATCCCTTGGTTTAATTGGCGTGTGCGCAAAGCGCATCAGATTCTTTTGCAGTACCCTTCCGAGTATGCCACAACGGACGGTAAATAAGCCGATGATTCACCTCAAAAACTGGGGCGAAACATGTTGCATTTTACTACGGAAGACTCACTCTAACCGAGCCGGCCCCGGCCATCTTCCCCTCCCTCCTCCCTTGCCCCTCGGGGCCCCCTTCCTCTCTCGCCCTTCGGGGCTTCGCCATTTGTGGCGCCGGGGAAGCTGATCCTCAGGAGGCTCCCCCCGTGGGCCTTCGGCCCCTGGCAGCTGCCCCACCTACATCATGATGTCCTAAATATCAAGAAACCCGATTGTGAAGTATCCGGTAATTTAGAATATGGGTTGCTATTCAGTTGAGTTTGGACTCAGGCTGGGAGAGCTGAAGGTCCAAATAAATATGCCACCACTATTCATGCCGTTTTACTTCGTTGATTCTCGATAGCAACACTTTTGCTGATGGGAAAGACTGAGTGAGGAAACTAACAATTTAGCGGCTATGATGCATTCGTTTGTCGAGTCTTGTGACTCTGTTATGAATGCACAACTCGTGTCACCTGTAGACATGGTTATGTCACGTGTCATGTCACCATGGCTTCCTTGGGCAACCCGCGCATGTCCCCTCTTGTGTAAACACAAACGTCAGTGGAGCTTTCGGCGTAGTTTTTCTTGAAGCCAAAATTTGTGAGCTGGCGCTGAAATGATTCCAATCTGCGATGACGAAAGTAGGTCGGCATCGCTTCGAGAAG